GTACGTGATAGAAAGTGTCCTTGACTGCATTAGAACTGCAGTCGGTGGGAGCATAAGCAGAAATCACAAACAGCGTTTTGTTTTACTTCGCGAATTCACCTTAACTGATGTCGTCAAACGGGCTGCACATAAGCGGCTGTTCACCGGAATCCAATCAACCAACGATGACTCAGCCTTGGAACTGAGAATGATACCTACACCAGCTTGACCCGTGAGTGCCGCATCGGCGTCTCCGGATGCGTGCAACCAATAACGAGAGGATAAGCCGGGTGCAGTCAATTCAATAACCCCGTTAGGTTCATTAATCCTAGTTTCGGACACACAACACACATCAACACCCAGTGTGTCCAAGGTGCGTGCGAGTGCAGCCTGCTGACCTGTTTGTCTTAGAGTGCGGACGTTGAATGTTGCCATGGAAACGGGACAGCTTGGCCTTATAGGGAACTTTTGCCGATAGGCATCCGATAGGTGCTGTGGGATGGTAACTGCAGATGGTTCTACTCCAGTAGAACTTCGGTTGCTGTCAATTAAGCTGGGAATTATGGAAGGAAGGTTACTAATGGGGGCCGGGATGGGAGTAAGAGAAAAAGGTGGAAATGAAAGAAGGGGGCGCCAGCAGTAGCATGTTTTCGCTTATCCACCCTGCTGTATGCAGCAGATAAGGCGACCCTTGATAATCTGCGCGACGGCCGATGCAGGATGAAGTTTATGTTTGAAGAAAATGTCATGGTTGTATGTGGGTTGGGATACTGCCAGGGCGCCCAGACCTAGACAGGAGAACGATTAGGGTCCTCATCCAAAGCCTTTGGCTCAAAAGCCTCTCCGCAAGGCAGCGGGGTGGCAGTGATTTAGTTTTACAGAAATGGACGCCATCCTATTTCAAACCCCCAACCTGGAGGATCAGGAGACTGAGTTTTTCTGACCTCTCACCATTGACCAACCTGGTAGGAGTAGCTCTCAAGATGCTCGGAGGCATCACCCAGTATAGCTCAATGGGTCAATGAGGTACGCAAACCGTCGCACCACGTTAAGGTCCAGTCTCGTTGCGACGGCCAGTCTCGTTGCACATCAGCAGGTGAGAAACACACTTCAGCTAACTGTGAATCAACACAAATAGATATGAGAGAAAGCGAGACAGGACACATCATCATCATTATACACGTCAGCTAGGGGTGGGAAACACCTCAGCTACTGTGCCGCAATACATAAAGGAAAAAGGAAAATAAATACAAAAGTTGCATGCTAGCTGAGCTACCAGCAACGGATAGGCATCGTTCCAGGAAGCTACCAATCGGCTACTAGGCAAAAAGAAGAAATTGTTTTACGCTAAGAAATGGGATCGTAGGTGGAGGGGAGGCTAAAAGGGATGGGGACGGACAAAGAAACTCACAGCAGGAACGCCACTGAGGTCGGCTCCTTGCCATGTCAGCAAGTGTATCCAGCCTAACGTGTTCACCTTCTTTTGGACCCTAACCAGGGAGCCGTGACGCTCCAACTGAGGTCATCTCCGAAGTGAGGGACTTCATTCCTCTTGACCAAGTCATCGCTTGGCCACCCCTCTTCTTCCTTCCACATCCCCGGTGAGCAAACAACGCACGTCGTGGAAGTCCACGGGCTGGCATGCGCAACATGTGGCCCAGCCATCGGAGCGTGGTGCGTGCAATGACAGTGCTGAGCGGTTCATTTCCTTTTCCTGTGCCGTAAACAAGGCTTCGAACACGCTCGTTACTCACGCGGTGTTCCCACCAGATGTGAGTCAAGCTGCGAAGGCACCGATGGTCGAATGTAACTAGCCTCTTTATGTCCACCGCTCTTAGGGGCCAGGTTTCGCAATCGTACAGTAAGGTCGAACGTACCACTGCATTGTACACTCTACCCTTCAGGGCGAGAGTAATGTCGTGCCACCGCCATAGGTGGCGAAGGTTAGCAAAAGCACTTCGAGCTTTTGCTATACGGTTCGTGATCTCGTCTTCGATCCCAAGGGCGCTGGTACAATTTCCCAGGTAGATGAATTTTCGAGCGACTACTAGCTGATCGCCACCAAGGGTCAGCGCAGGAGGCGATCCTTGCCAAGCTTGAAGGGACGCTTTGCATTTCGATGGTGCAAAGCGAAGCCCGAAGCGGCTGACAGTCAGTGCTAATCTGTCCAGCGCGGCTGGGACGTCTGGGAGCAGTCACAGATGAGGGCAATGTCATCGGCATATTCCAAGTCGAGAAGTCGTTCTCCTGGGAGCAGCTCCACACCTTCCAAGTCATGTCCTGTAAATGCAGTCTCCATGACTTCGTCAATAGCGAAGTTGAAGAGGAATGGTGACAACGGGCATTCTTGTCTCACACCGTTAGAGATATTGAAGGGCGACGACAACTTGCCGTAAGCCCTCACGATGCCCGTGCTACGCGCCTATAATGCTCGGATAATATTTACATATTTCTCGGGCACACCTTTCCTGAGTAGACAATTCCAATGGGCATATTGATCAAGCGAATCAAAGGCACCTTTAATGTCGAGGAAGACGACTACAATGGGCCGCCAATATGTGTGACGGTGCTCCAACAACTGACGCAAAGTGAAGATGTGGTCAATACAGCCGCGACCCCGACGTAACCCATCTCGTTTCGTCCTATTGGGACTCGTCTCAATAGGACGAAACGGCCGTCTAGCGCTTTCCTGGATGTGTGGTGGCTGTCTGCCTGTGTCTAACTGCAACGAATCTACACAAAACCTACTAAATCCCCCTACTACTTACAACTAATATCCGGGGTGAATTAAAATACGATCGTATAGCAAAACACATGCGAAGCCGCAACTTTTTCAAGGTGTACTGAGTTGTGCGAATGCCATTAGGGTCCTCAAAGGTCGCATACCTGAGTTCACTGAATCGTACAGAGAAGACAGAAATCCCTTTTCAGCTCTGTAGATTCCCAATCCTTCTGGGTTTGATGCGTGTCGCTGGTTTACGACCTTCCTCGATGGTCCGCCACAGGTGCATTGACGGCAGCGAAATCTCAGAATTCTCAGCGAATGGTTGTCTAATAAGGATTTGAAACATTTTTCGGATTGCGCGTCCATATTTTTCTCCGCCAGGCCGTTCTAGTACTTTAAAACTCTAGTGGATTTGGTGACATCCATGCGAATTCGGTGTCCTCTTTATTTAAAGAGCTTCCATATGTGACCTCGTTTGGAACAGTAGGCGATGAGCTGGAAGAAGTGTTGTAACCCACTTCCGAGTTCTCCTCGGAGGATGCGCCTAGTGTAGATGAGGTCACCCCGGCGACGGTATAACCACGAGTCGACCGGGGTATGAAAGATAAAGAATCCCCTAAAAACCTTGATTCGCTTAGCGGTCCAAGAAGCGGGACGCTCGATAGGCGAAAGCCTGTATACGGGCATGGCATACCCAAACTGTGAAAACATATAGAAAGCTGGTAGGCCATATTCTAAAGTTGGATGGAGGGAGGTGAACAGGTCGAAAAATCTCAGGGGTTAACCGATCAATTGACCTTAGAGCAACTACCAAGTCAGGTTTTCAGAACAGTACATACTTGCAGCGATTGTACATTTCGCTCTTCCCAATTGTACCCTCCTATTCCTATTTCCATTAATTACTGTAGTTTTGTTTTACCTGATCAAAAACCGATAAAAACACGTTTTCAGGTTTTGATTCGCCATCTGGTTTCGGCTAGGGGTGTTGTGCTGTCGATCGTCGGTCTGCTTGCGTCGCTTATTGAATCAACCGCATCGAATTATTGTGCCGACTAAGTTTCGTCTACCGACCGAATTGTGCGATTAACTGACGGCCTACCGAGGATCGCACTTTAACGTAGGTCAGGTCCAGCAATCTTACTTTATAGACTAGAAGTTCTTCTATGTAATTATGCCCTTTTAGTGTGACCTTTCCAATACAGGCTTCCGCCTAATGAGCGTTCTGTTTCTTGCACCAGCAAGCAACCAGGACCCCAGTACTTCGACTTTAATTGTATTTCTTTTTTCTGCAAAGAAAACGAAGCAAAAAGAAACAATCGCGTACACTCATTCTTTATGAGGTCGCCGCAACGAGCATTTCTAGAAAAAGCTCCAACATCTTTCGAGACCTCTTGAAGGCGCAAACAGTTATAGCTTATCAACGGAGAAGCTTGTTCTAACTGCTGACAACGCGGTTCGCAAATTATTTCCCCATACTATCTAGACGAGACATTCGATGCTTGAGCTTAAGAACCCTGTCGGCACGAGTGCCCGTTGAGAGTCTGTTGGGCGTCCTTTGAGCGTCCCACAGGTGTCCGTTGGAGTTCTATCGGAGTCCAGACGATAACTATTAAAGGTAAAAGGGAGGCTTAGAAAAATGAGAAGGAATACGGTTTTGAAATGCAGACAAACTAGTGCGCCCTTAAGCAACTATTTATTTCATGGTGCAAACGTGCCAATACTCAGCTTGCGTCACTATGCACCTACGTACGGCTAAAAAACAACAAAGTGTGAAATGCAAGTAGTTGTATTTGTATGAACCAGACTCAGATTCAGATGGGAATGGAACGATAGGAATATTCCTTGCGTGTTCCTTCTTGAGCCAAAAAATGATAAGGTGTTACGAGGTCTTAATGGATCTAAAACGAAACACCCGAACCACACCCTAGTCAACCAATTACTGCCCACCTTCCCTGCACTAGCAGTCACCGCTGTGCAGGTCACGTGAAATAAGGAAGACGTGCGACGAAAACGGAAGACAGAGAGAAATCAAAGTCATTTAAATGAAGGATAACGCCAAAATACAAATTATACGCCACAATGTATAAAAGATAAGTATTTCTGTCCTTTGTTGGAGCCTAGTTATTCAGAAATACTTGCCGTCGTTTGAAAGTCCCGTTCTGGACTCTTGAGTGTCCGGTAGGGAAGCACCCATTGTGATAAGCACCAAAAAGCGCGCAAAAATGACAATGATACATAATTCTAGCTATGGTACGCCCAAGTACAGAAGGTGACGATTTAAAAATCTACGACTTACATAATGCGAGCGAAATACGCAGCCGAACCGTATAACACCGCCAATGCTGAGAAGTTCGAATGTCCGCCGCTTTATTTCAATTTGATTGTGGTGCTTTTAAACAAGCTTGTCTATGTTATTAATGCAAAGTAGCAATTTCTGTCAATCATTTAGGCTAAGAAATGTATACAGATTTATGGGACGTATAAATGTGTAGTTTTACTTACACAAGTAACGGTTACGCTACCACACCAGCACCCATCGTGGGTGTGTGTACGTGTACTGGGTAGCTGTGGTTCTACATTCCCAAAGTTGTTTTTTCTTCGGAGGATTGCTATCCCAACTTTTTCAAATCCGGAATGGTTGCACCTTGTGATATTCCCATATCTTACAGGTCATTTTCTTCCAACAGCGTTTCGAACAGAAATAGCAATGTAGACTCATCCTTTTATCATACCTCCACTCTTGGAATGACATTCACTGTGAGTCTTTCGCGCAGCCAGCTTGGTCTAACCGGTTTTGGAACATCTACCAGCAATTACAGCAAACAAGTTATTCCAACTCAACGGAAACCCACGAGGAAACGGTTCACCCCCTTCTATCTTCACATCGAATATTACCACGGCTTCAATGAATCCATCCTACAAACGGATTTGGTATTGTTTTCACCTTGCTTGGCAAAAGTGTATCCATTGGGATCGCTTCCCATACTCGTTACACCATGGGTGGACGACGAAAGTCTGTGGATAGCGTGGAGCGAGGCTGTGAGATTGGAATGCACCGATGAAACCATTCTGCATCTCTGGAACAGTAGCAATAGTGGCGGCTTACAAGTAAGGTACTGGGATGGTCGAGAAAAATGTGCTCCACAAGCAAGATTTGATCGACCAAAGTCAGTGGCATCGAGTGTGGATATCAATGAAATAGCTATCCAAAAATTAGTGGAAACTATGCCTTCACATCCAAAGCAAACCCAAAAGTTTATTGTTTCGCGGGTGGCTGGTCTAACCGGTAGGGACAGCCAAAACATATCGAACGGGTCTGCTCCGCGAACTTCTTGCTCAAATACAGCTCAAACTAACGGAATCCATCAACCTGACAGAACCACTTCTCCAGAATCTGTGCAATGTAAGTCTAAATTAATAATGATAATGTATATTCTCGTTTTCAAGAAACGTGCCCTGCCCGGCATGATAAAGATTATGCAATCATGTTACGTCATTAGAACCACAGAAGGGAACAAATACATTTAAATATAGTGTAGTGATCGAATGGATACTAGGAAGGTTTCAGTCCCTTAGTAAAGGCAAAAAGTTGGAGAGAGTCAACACACAGTCTAATCACAGTTGTGTTCGAGTCGTAGATTGCGCTATACCTGTGGCATACCTCCAGCACAATGGAAATAGACCTTCGATAGTAATTCCGCGTCTAATATCCGATTCGCAAGCAGACTGGATGGCACCGTACGCACGCAGAATCAGCACGACGGAGCGCGGGACACGAAGAAGTATATTGTAATCGTTTATTCAACCAAACTGTACAAAAGAGGTCAGGATACAATTGATGACAGGAAAGACAAAATGTGAAAGCATAATTACCACTACATAACTCCCCCGTAGAGCGTGAAGTGGTAAGGTAACGCTCGATTTATCTATTTAGGGAACGGACTCAGCTAGTTTGGAGGGGAAACACACAGAACGTCCTGAACGTGTATGCTTGAGATCATTCGTTGAGCGAGCGCCTGAAGGTTCTGGAGCATTGGAATCATTCGGTTGACCAACAGGAGGTAACAACTTGGGATCAATCAAAATAACAACAGGCTCAACATAAGCGGGTTAAAGACGGTCAATACTCAAGGATTCTTTCGATCCATTCCTTTCCAGGATGAAGTACTTTGGCTTCCGTGACAACACTTTGAAAGGATTTTTATAAGGGGGTGACAACGGCTTGCGAACTGCATCAATACGTATGAAAACAAAAAGACAGGTGTGTAGGTCCGGATGAATTCGTTGTTCGCGGTTAGTGAAGCGAGCGAGTAGACGTAAGTCGAGTTGTTCGGAAGTGTTGTTCGACACCTTCGGCGTAAAGCACAAGATCAATGTCACCAGTGATTCGGGAATCCAAAATCATCTCACTTGGAAGTCTGAGAGTGGCGCCAAAAATGAGTTCGGCAGGGCTGCATCCAATATCCTCTTTGACGGTGTTATGAATAACAAGAAGGACGACTGGAATGCGTTCAGACCAATGTGGATCAGGTGAATTAGCTGTGATGGCGGCTTTAAACTGTCGATGGAAACGCTCGCCAAGGTCATTCGTAGCAGGATGATAAGCAGTAGTCCGAATGTGGGTACAAACAAACAGACGATTCAAGTCACTGAGCAAGGTGGAAGTAAACTGAGATCCTCGATCTGTAGTGATCGTAGATGGTACACCGAAGAAGGAAATCCCTGAGTCAAAAAATGCACGGGCAACAGTTTCTGAATATGTGTCACGTAAATGAATGACATGCGGCCAACGGGTGAAACGGTCAACACAAGTCAGAATGAAAGTGAAATTGTTTGATGGAGGCAGCGGTCCGACTATGTCTAAGTGGACATGTCTAAAACGCGCCTCAGATAGTGAGAATATTCCGGGGGCAGAGATAGTGTGTCTGTGTACTTTGCTGCTCTGGCAGCTGAGACAGTGTTTAGCCCATTGACGGATATCGGAGCGCATATTAGGCCAGATGTAACGATCAGTAAACAACTTTACGATGGATCATATGCTGTGATGTGATAGTCCATGAAAATGGTCAAAAACGGTTCGCCGGAAAGATTGGGGAACAAACGGTCTTGGCTTACCGGTAGAGACATCGCAGTGAATCCTTGCGTCTGAGTTTAAAATAGGTAATTGCAACAACTTCAATGCGGTATTCGATCGAAGCTGACCGAGTTCAGGATCCTTGTTTCGAGCAACGGACGTTTGCTCAAGATCTGTTGGAGAGGACGACAGTTGATATACGTGAGCACGTGAAAGTGCATCTGAGACAACATTATTTGGACCGTCGAGGTAGCGAATATCGACACAGAATTGTGAAAGGTAATCCAGGTTTCCTGTCTCTCTCGGAGAATAGCGGTCGGAAGCAGCACGAAAAGTGTAGACCAAAGGCTTGTGATCAGTCAGAATTACAAAACGTCCTCCTTCAAAAATGTGATGAAAGTGTTTGACGGCCAACTAGATCTCGAGTAGTTCGCGACTGAAAGGACTATATCTCGTTTGTGCTGGCTGTAGCTTCTGAGAAAAGAAAGGCAGCGGCTGAATCTCATTGCCGATTAGTTGTTGTAGCACAACACCAACAGCGGTTTATGAGGCATCAGTCTTGAGAACGAGAGTAGCTTTCTCGTAGGTGTCCAAGTAGCTCAGAGACGTTACCTGGCTCAAGTACTGCTTGATGACAACAAACACTGTTTCCGCTTCGGGCGTAATGATGAACTTTTTTGGATTACCTTTAAGTAAATCAGTCAAAGGCTTAAGAAAGGCGGCACAATTGTCAATGAATCTTCCGTAATAATTAAACATGCCAAGGAATCGGCACAGATTTTTAACTGATTGAGGCAGTGGATAATCCATGATTGCCTGGGTTTTCTTAGGGATGGGACTACTACCTTTGCTATCAATTTTGTGACCAAGAAAATCGACGCTAGATTGACCAAATTGACATTTATCAGGATTAGCGGTTATCCCGTGATGATCGAAGCGTTCAAGTACTTATCGGAGGTGATTAAACTCCTGTTCTGGCGTGGCACTGGCTATTAGGACATCATCGATGTAGAAAAAAAAACAAAGTCTAGACCACGGAGGACCTGGTCCATGAAGAGCTGAAAGGACTGTGCCACATTGCAAAAGCCAAAAGGCATACGAATGAACTCATACAAACCGAAACGTTTGATAACGGCCGTTTTAGCAATGTCTTCAGCTGCCATTGGAATCTGATGGTACGCTCGCACAAGGTCAATTTTGGAAAAGTCGGATTTCCCGGACAATCCCAATGAAAAATCATGAATATGATGAATAGGGTATCTGTCAGGGATGGTAACGGAGTTGAGTGACTGGCAATCACCGCATGGACGCCAATCACCGGACCTTTTGGTTACAAGATGAAGTGGGGAGGCCCAACAACTGTTGGACTGGCGAACGATGCCGAGGTTGATCATGTGCTCGAATTCACGTTTAGCCGCTTGGAGCTTGTCAGGTGAAAGAAATCTCGGTTTGACTGACACGGGTAAACCCTTTGTGACGATATGATAACGAGCCTCTTGTTTAGACTCGGTAGGGTCGGTATTAGAACGGACCAAAGACAGGAATTGCTGTAGCAATGATGAATACGGCGTTCTTGTCTGCCATGAGTACGCGATGTCCGAGGAAAGTGACTGGGGCGAGGACCACGAGGACTTCTTCGGTTAATAGTACGTTCACGTCGGATAGACGGGAGATTCTATCCTTGATGGAATCAGACGTAGTGCTATGGGATGAGCTGGCTGTAGTGGACTCAGCTACGTGATTAAGAGTATTGTTAAAGAAACATTCGTGCCTTTTGTCCGCAGCTTCTGCGAGCTTTTCCAGCGTGATATCGTCGTTAAGAACTGATAAAATCCCTGTGATGTTTGCCGGAGTATGTTGGCGGAGTATGGAGTCGTGGAGTTTCGACGAACAAACTAGGGAACGCAAGTGTCTAAGGTGGGGTGCGATCGCCAAGCTCGACATCGGAAAGTAACTGTTGCAGACGAGCCTCATCAATAGCAGTGGTGAGTTTAAGAATAGCTATTTTAAGTTTATCATACAGTGCTTCTGCAGACATAGGATAAAGGATATCGATGACTTCAGAGGCAATGAAGACAGGCAAGCGCGAGACGACTTATGAAAACATGGAAGGTTGTGAAGTGATCATAAGACATCGGAAAGTGGCTTCTACCTGAATAAACCATACACGTGGATTTGAAATGTCGAAGGTAGGAAGCGGGAGTTCGACGGAATTGTCAGTAAAAACACATGGCGTCTGATCAGACATGACTAAAAAAGAAAAATATGTGTTCACAAAAGTACCACGAGGTCACAATTTTATGTAGTGATCGACTGGATACTAGGAAGGTTTCAGTCCCTTAGTAAAGGCAAAAAGTTGGAGAGAGTCAACACACAGTCTAATCACAGTTGAGTTCGAGTCGTTGATTGCGCTATACCTGTGGCATACCTCCAGCACAATGGAAATAGACCTTCGATAGTAATTCCGCGTCTAATATCCGATTCGCAAGCAGACTGGATGGCACCGTACGCACGCAGAATCAGCACAGCCCAAAAATCAGCACGATGGAGCGCGGGGCACGAAGAAGAATATTGTAATCGTTTATTCAACCAAACTGTACAAAAGATGTCATGATAAAATTGATGACAGGAAAGATAAAATGTGAAAGAATAATAACCACTGCAATAGCAACGGCTACAGCAGGTTTTAAATAGAAAAGGAAAAGTTCAAGCTCCGATTTAAGTAATACGGTCATTCATGGAAACTTGTGCTGGGGACCCGCTTCCTTGCTGTCTAGTCCCCCTAAGATTGTCACCCGCACTTCCACTCCCATCTGGCAATGTACCGTTGTGGCTTAAATGCATGCAAGCCATCACCGCTTTCATTCATCTCTCAGAACATTTTTATATGCGATTAGGGTAGGCAATTCAGATAGATAACCTAGGGTTCCTAGTTAGACTACAGGTTTAGCGGGAGCCTGTTGGGTGCGCCTCGAATACGGTGGCAATTAAGAGACGTGCCAAATAGTGAACAACAGAGAACTCCGCTGCACACTTCCAGTTTTCTTCCCGTTTTTACAAAAACATTCCGATCAGCCTACAGAGAGAAGCTGTAATTGTTAGACACTTTGCAAACGATAATCCTGAAAAATTCCCGCTTTTACGACCAATCACTTTCGAGTTGTATGTAGATAGAAAAACTATCGTGAAGGCAAATTCAAAGCCGTTCTTTATGTTCTACGCGACTGCATAACGCATAGACTAAAACAGAACAAGATGTGTGCAGTAACCTGCTCGTCCAAGCATCAAGTGAAGTGATACTTGCAAAGCTTGTGTACACAATGCCGTTA